TTGGTCTTATTCTTGGCGATGATGGAAAATGATTTCAGACTCGTAGCAGCGAGATTGTTCGACTGGTTGATTTACTTGATGAAGCTAAAAGACGCTATAAAGTTGGCCTTCTTGAACGTGATAATGCTAAGAATGGACAGAGAAAGTAGATTGAAGGGAAGAAAGAGAATATGTGATTAAGGAAGAGAAACTCTTGATTTCTGTTTCACGATAAAAACCATAGAAAACAGAGTTTATTGACAACAATAATGTTTAATCTATTTTTTTCCTTCCCAATGACCAAACAATAGACCAGCTAGAGGCGCCTTCTGTTTAATATTAGGGTTACAAGTTTCTTTTCCTTTGTTCTATTTTGCCAACCAGGTCACCCATTGGGCTGTTGGCCCAATTTTTCCTCTTACCATTTTCCCTTATGTCCTAATTAAATCATAGTAATAACGAATAAGTACTACATTTCAATTGGCAGGACATTGTTTGCAGCAACCTAAGAACCCGGGTTCAACCCCTGCTGGGGCCTTCTATTCTTTTTTTCAATTTTAATACAATATTAACTTAGTTTATTATATATATAATTATTTAATCATAAAATACAGAAAAACATCCTATTATAAATTAATCTTTTCTTCGATTTTTGTTATTTGTTTAAATACATGTTATTAAATTAGTCTATTATTTAATTCTTGCCATTAAAAAACACAAAACATGCTAATAAATTATCTTTTATTTAATTCTTGTTTATTCAAAAACATATTATCAAATTAGTCTTTATTTAATTTTGCTGTTTATTAATTATTCCAATACATGCTAATCTTTTATTTAAATACATGCTTATAAACTAATATTTTATTTAATTTTTATTTGAAAATGCATGCTAGTAATTTAATTTTTGTTAATTGTTCAATTGTCACTATAATTAACTTTATTCTCGATCGTTTAATCTTTATCTTTCGTCGGTTTCAAATCCAAGGGAAATGTTTTGTTGACTTCACATCTTATACGATTGAGCGAACCCCTTCATTCATTTTTATTTAATTATTTTGCTAAACTTAAATTAATTTTCGTAAAAACTCAATTTTTAAACTCACACCTTTTAAATCAAAACATCGACACCAGGTCGTCGTATTTTCAAAATCTCATTCGCACCCATTTTTAGCCAAACAAACCATTTTAAACAAACAAACAATTTTTAAAATAGATATTTCAAAAGGTTCCTGCGGAGTACCACAGATGCATTGGGTGTTAATACCTTCCCATTGCATAACCAACCCCGAGCTCTAGATCTCTTTTCAAAAAACCCATTGTATTTTCATTACTTTTAAGTACTATTTTACATTGCATATTTAAGGGTTTTATTTAGCTCTTTTCCCTTTTCCCTTGGAAATAATAAAGCAAGGTGGTGACTCTTCCTTTTGCGAATCGAGTTAATTAATAGCTCGATCTCCGATTTATCCCGCTACATTTTTTACCAATACACTAGGCAACAATGTATTATCAAGCACTATTTTATTCATCCCCCGGGTTGCGATGAATATACAAAATTTGTGTCACGAACTTACTGTATTAGTCTCCAAGAATTAGTAAATAAACTTTTTAACCTATGTCATTTACCTCCTAGGTTACGATAAATATACATAATTTACAAACTCTTCTAGATATTGACGAGTTATTCACATCGTCGTGTCTAGGTTAAAACAAACCTTGGTATAATCAGTCGGGAAAATTAAGGGGTCTTCCAATATTTAATAAACTCCCGATCAGAACGTGCGATACCTGCGTGTTCTTGCACTATTCAGTCGAAAGGAAATTAAATAGAGGCAGTTGCCATACCCCAAATTTTCCCTGCTAGATTTATGTCCCTTTAATCTCCAGAATTATCATTTTTGTTTTATAAATTTTGTCAAATACTCACGGGGGGTTTAAAATCATAGGGTGGTGTATTAGTAATCAAGGAGGTGAGAACAATTCAATTCTTGTTAAGGCCCATTAGGTTTCTTAAAAAGACCCATTTAAGCTTCCTAACCCATGTGTTTTTATAACCCATTTAGGTTGAAGGGTGCGTGAAGCAATTTATTTTTCTAAAGGGGCTAAACAATTAAGCAAATAGGCCCATAAATTTTTTTGGATGGTCTATTGGTTTTTTATAAAAGGATATGTTTTTTTTTTTGGAGCGTACTGGTCCATTAAGAGTTTTGTTTATAGGCTCATAGTGCATTTTTGAAAACCCAGCCAGCTTCTTCCCATTTTTGTTGTTGACCGAGTCAATCTTCCTTTTATTGTACTTTCATTATTATTATTATTATTAACACCAATTGCATTATTATTATTATCCAAATTTTGATTTAATTAAAACTCATGTTTGTTTTAATTAGAAGAAAAAGTTTTACAAAAGAAAGGCCAATTGAAGTCGCATACCCTTACATGCCAAAGCCCAAAATCAGAAACATTCACTGTATAGATTGAGAAAAACACGTGCTTTTGTGTAATAACATTTACTTTTCAAATCAAGATTAAAACAGAAACAGATCTTTTCATCTTGAATTTTCCGGATACACAGAATCATATAATAACAAATTAAATCAATTACAATCAAATCTTTATTAAAACTAAATCAATCTACAAGCTAATTTACACATTTTCTTCTCAATCACAGGTTTGTGACACTAATCTAACAAAAGTCCTAATTCGTTATACATCTAAGACTATATAAACCCTAAGAGGCTAATGCTTTTGAGGGAGGATAAAATTGAAAGAAAATAAAAAAAATTCACTGTAAAAAGTTAACAGAAGGAGTAGAAGTAGAAAAAGGAGATAGCCCGGCCACCTAAGTCGAAGCTTTCTCTCTTCATACAAATTTAGGGTTTCAATATCTGAAACCCTAAACTTTGTATCAATCGCCTCCCCTAAAGTCTGACGTCGCCACCTCCACCATCATCACCATCCTTCGTCACCTGCAAACACACACAAAGGAGACAGGATCAGAAAACCAGAATCGGAGGAGCACACTCGAAGATACACGACTAGGATGGTAATCCTTGAAACTTTACTTAGCTTTTTGCATAACCATTTATTGTTGATTGGGTACGATGGGTTCTGTTTAGAATTTTTGGGTTGTATTCATGAGCCATTACACGGCGGGGGAGGCCCCAAATTAGGGTTGCATTTTTGTTGGGAAAGAAGAGAGAGCAGAGACGGGTTAGAGAAGTGAAAGAAACAATATGAGAGTTTTATTTTGTAAAACAATAATATAGTGTCGTTGTGATCCAATGCGCTTCGTCCTACCATGTTACTATGATCCCCCCAATCTTGACCATATGATTTGCATCACACGTTACAAACTTGCACGCCCATGATAGCAATCGTACACTCACCTGCAACTAGTCCATATGGACTCAAACACCGTTGGGCCAATCCCATTGCCAAATATACTCGTGCCTTGTTATTTTTCTAAACCGCTTAAGAACTTAGCACCCCCTTAGCCTATTGGGCCTAGTTTAATATCTGAACTTGGGCCCTATTCCTTATACACCCTTTTTACTGCATAAACAGAAAAGTACATCCTTGCCTTTTGGGCTTGAATTCAATATCTGAATTCAGGCCCTTGTTGTTAGCACATCCTATTTTACCACCTCAACCTAATTAACACCCCTATGTGTTTTATTTTCTTTTTATTTTATAATTTTTATTTCCTGTTTTATAATCTTAATATTACATTAATTATTATTAAATCAAATATCTTTTTTTAACTCATTCAAATGTATCTTATTTATTGCATTAAAATATCTTCTACCATGCATTTAAATAAAAAAATTTATAATTAATATATAAAAAAACATTTAACCAACGCCAAATTATTTTTCATAAATAAATTAATTTAAAAATTAATTTTCAAAAAGGATTGCGACATATATTTTGATTAACTACGCATTTGGTCTGAAAATCTCTGTTATTTACACACCTGGGCTAAGTACGAGGGGAATTAAAATATCTGCATAATTCATAAAAAATACCAACCAACTGCGAACTACGAATTGAAACTATGATTCCTCATAAGAGGATACATAGACATACGACTAAAATCGTGGTGATTTCCTCTAATAAAATATTAAAACACTTTTTCCTAAAAAACGGGCTTCTAAACCCAGTATCCTTTTGAACAAGGTAGATGAGGGGGTGCCTAACACCTTCCCTTTGTCTAGAACCGAGTCAGGCCTAAATTCTTTGAATTTTTTTAGGGTTATTCCTTTATATTCCCTTCCTTAGGATAAAAATTAAGGGTGGCGACTCTGATTTTAAAACTAGTTACAACAGGTAGGACATCATTCCAAGGGATACAACAAGAGATCCTTTATCAAAAACTGTAGATTGGCCTTTTAGGGTTGAAAGCAAAAATAAATTGCTTCTTACTTTCTTTAGATCACTATTCAACAAACTCACTTAAAAGAGCCTTTATGAGTGGACTTGAGATGGGCCTCAAGTATCTTTGGCCTTTTTTATTTGAAGTTATCGTACAAAAACCACACCATCACATGATAGACTTTCAGAGGAGAACAAATACAGCAGAATACAAATAAAAAAACTCCTCAACAACCTTTAGGGAAGAACATGATAGCCCTTGCACACAGTCGCCATAATCTAGGTGCCAACAGAACACCAGATGTTTGAAAATAAATCAAACACACAAACAATAGCTCTCCATCATACTACATGTCTGGCAACATCAGACAAGTCCAAAACTCAACCTCCTTTCTTGCCCATGAACCAAAAAGTATCTTCCCTGATCTCACCCAGAAATAGACAGGATGCCTGCTCTGATATCAATTGAAATTCTGGTATACAAATTACAAATGTCCTAACACGTGTTGAGACCTTGATCTCTACAAAATAACACATAGACATAATACAACAGACTGATACAAACTTATTAGTCCAGAGTCATAACAAATGTTCCAACATCTTATACAACATGTTAATCAATCAAGGACAAAACTGAACAATGCAGAATGATAAAAACACAAAGATATGATGACCCAGTTCGGTGTACAACAACACCTACTATGGGGCCTACCAAGCCAGGAAGAAATTCCACTATCAACAGTATTAGTTCAAAGCTAAACTCCCTCGTTTATAACTTCTCGCCAAATCCCTATCCAATGACACTTTTACTCAGGTCCTCCCTAAATATGAGAAATCGATATCTCACTTCCTAAATCACCTCAGTGATATCTAACAACCATAAAGTTTAGCCAAGACTCTTGACTAACCAACACACTTGGATTTGTTTTAAAGCTTCATCAAAGAACAATATACATTTTATGCTTAAAAGCTTAAGAATGAACAACAAAACCTTACAACTCAAGGAACAATCCTACTCTTCTATCAACATGATATTAGAGAGGTTTACACATACCAACTCTCTTAGAGAGTGGCTTACAGACCCAACCCTAATAATCAAAACTTTGCATCTTCGGTTGGTGCCTTTTCTAGTTTAATAACCTTTTATTTATAACCCTTTTCCCAACTAGATTTGGGCTTCAAATCACAGCATATCAATTGCTATAAATATGCAGAAATTTCTGCATAAAGATAGGTCTTCAATCACGACTTTCCTAATTTATCTCCATAATTAGAAAGTCAATATTCTTCTTGATTTCAGCTTGAATCTTCCAGACCTATAAATCAACGCCACATAGGATATCATAATATTCCCAGAATATTTTACATCTTTTAAATTTTAAACTGATCCGACAGCCCAGTCCAAACCATACACGATGTCGAATGATTCTGTATGGGACATCTTTATTCAACATATTTCTTCTGATGATAGATCTTCTTAGTTCAAAACTTCTGATTTCTTAAACTTGAACACTCCATATAATTATTTAATATTTCTAGAATATTTAGTAATTTAAATCACATGTATCCAATATGTAATAGACAAGATGTCTTACTCTTCTAATTAGGACATCACATACGACATGTTGAAACTACTAATTAAAACATCTTATTTAACATATATCTATTAATATGGAACATCCTATGTTCTGCCTAATTTATTTTACTAAAATTACTACCAATTATAAAATATAGAATTAACATGAAGTATGTTGAAATGTTATTGTCCAATATGGTGAGGAAAACTAAAATGAATTCCAAAAACCTCATATGTCGTTTTACCTTTGACAAGAACAACATTTATGTGGTATTTTTCTCTTCCATCGATACAAACATGGGCGCATATGAAAAGGTGTTTCTATGAAAGATGATTTAGTGAACTTCAAATTACAAATGGATGAATCAATTGAAAATGGTTCGGTCCAACTTCCCGATGCTAAGTTTGCATATATGGCCATAAAGTGCATGCATCCTCGACTAATATTGAAGTTGGTAGGACAAGTTTTTCAATATTAGAATGATCTGACTTCAAGGGGAACACATATTAAATTTATCTAAGAAAAAATATGAAGTGTGCTAGCAAGGAAGAGGTACATGTCCAATCTCTATCGTTGACGTGGAAGAAGATAATGATGAGATGTCACTCATTTCCATAATAAATACATTGAAAGTTGAAATCTTAAAAGGAGAAGAAATTGAATTTTTCAACTATATATCACTTTTTTATCATTAAATTTCTATACTATCATACATTTCAACTCATTCTTAATATATCATATTTTCAAACAAAAAAATAAAAATAAAAATTTCCGTCCATTTCAAACAAAAAAAATAAAAATAAAAATTTTCGTCCATTAGATTGGTGGATGCTCTCTAAATTATTCCGTTTCCGTCCATTAGACTGACGGAGCTGTTAAAATATCGTTTTTTAATATAATATTAAAAATAAATTTAAATTAAATTATAGTAAAAATTAATATTTAAAAATAAATTTAAAATAAAATAAATATTAATCATAATAATAAATAAATACTAAAATAAATAAAATTTGTCTAAATTAAAATAAAAAATAAACATATATTATTAAATACGATTCTGCCACTGTAATGGCGGAGGCTTTTGTTATTTTATCATTTAAGTACGGCTCCACTACTGTAATGGACGGAGACTTTCGTTATTTTGTTATTTAAGTACGGCTCCGCCACTGCAATGAGCGGAGACTTTCGTTATTTTATTATTTAAGTACGGCTCCGTAACTGCAATGGGCAGAGACTTTCGTTATTTTATTATTTAAGTACAGTTCTGCCACTGCAATGGGCGGAGGTTTTTATTATTTTATTATTTAAGTATGGTTCTGCCACTGCAATGGGTGAATGCTTTTGTTATTTTATTATTTAAGTACGGCTCGTCAGTGCAATGGACAAAGACTTTCGTTATTTTATTATTTAAGTACGATTCCGCCACTGCAATGGACAAAGGCTTTCGTTATTTTATTATTTTAAAATTTTTATTGTGAACTATAAATACCATTGATGTTGAATGATCCTAGCTACACTCAAAATATTTTTCTTTAATTCTATCTTTAAAATGTCTTCAACATGCAGAGAGTTTCCATCGTTTCCATATATAAAAAGAGATGATGAACTGATTTTTTCTCTTGTAAAGCCTCCGATGAAGATCAAGTTGTTGAACGCGTAGACATTTGAGTATCTGTATAGGCACTTGGAGGGATGGTTAGGGGAAGAAATTGCACAAGGTGAAAAGATCCAAAAAATTGAGAGGCTAGTTACAATGCCCGACTTAAATGGACTCACTCGTTCTTAGAGACTTGTTCACAACAATGCATGTGTTCTTATGATGATGCTTCAATAAAAACATATTATGTTGTTGGTTGTAATATTCTAGAAATGCTTATGTGTTTAGGTTAAATGTTGTTGTTAAGTTCTTCTATTTGTCTAAGTATTTTAATTTATGTGTTATTTTTTGGAATTGTTATTTATATTAAATGAAAAAGTATTAGTGGCATAAAACATAATTTATTGGCGTCATTATACATACAACTTTGAAGATTGATAACAAAATGAATAACTAAGTATTATTAGTTCCTACATTGGGGCATCGTATTCGGTTGTGACCTGAAAGACGATAAAATGTGCATTTTCTCTCCAACTTATCATACGCGTCCATTTCTGTTGTAATACGGGTGCTCACAGGACGACCTTTCTTGTTCCTCCACATGATTGGATTATGGAAAATTTGATCTCCCTCATAAGTGGGATAATACTCATCGTATGGTAGAACTGGAAAGCTCGTGTTGTAAACCCCAAATAAGTTCTCCACCTTGTAAACGTCAGACAATAGAAGATAGGTGTCTTGGCACACCATGGAACATGCAGCGATAACATGTGAACAAGGAACACGGTATTCTTGAAACTTTCTGTAGTCATACCAACCATCTATTAGGTTGACCTTGTAACGTCCCAATGGCTTCCCCTCACCGTGGTTAATTGTCTCCTTCACATTGAAAGTGTTATTATTGTAGTAAAAAATGCTTACATGATGCGTGGTGGATTTTGATGTCTCTTCTTTCATCACCTTCACGCACCGCTCTGTAAATATTTGTCCAGAATTTAAAACTGCACTCTACTTTACACCCCTTTCAGCAAAGAGTGTTCCCTTCCTATAGTATGTTGCACTTACTAACACTGTGATGGATAAATTACGAGTGCCTTTAAATACATAATTTAGTGACTCGATAAGGTTTGTTGTCATGTGCCCCCAACGACGTCCCTCGTCAAATGCCCTCGTCCATTTTTCAACTGGAATTTTGTCTATCCACCTCAAAGCATCACCATTAGCCATGCCAATTTCACTATGATAATATTTAAACATTGGTTGGTTTAGCGCATACCCTACATGTTACAAAAAAATATTGGTTAATATTATGGTATACTATCAACGAGCATCTAATGTTTGCATAAAAGATACTTACCCATGTTGATTATTTTTTTTCCAAAGGTTACGGTCCTTGGTATCCTTCATAAAATTTTGTGCAATATGTCTGATACAATACACATGGACAGATGAAGTGTTATGCCAACCATTTTCTGGATTGTTATAAGCGCTTTCGACAGATGCATGTCAGTCGAAAATCAAACACAAACCAGGTTGAGGAGCTACATGCATTCTCAAATTTTTTAGAAAGAAACCCTAACCATTCCTTGGTTTTTTCTCTATAAATACTATTCAATTTTTCATAATTCTACACCAAACTCAATCTTCATACACTCATTCTCATCATAAACACCACTCTTAATATAATGTCTATGTTAACTTATAGAGAGGATCATCGAGGAACGTTGTCAAACATACTCCAATATGCAAGTGTATTGAATATATTTACGTATAAAGTTTTTTCAAATTGTTAGAATATACTTCCGACATTAACCATCTTCTAACATTGACTATTTTTTTAGAATGAGAAAAATTTTAAGCCTCGTACGCACTCATATGTGCCCGTAGACGAAATGATTCGTCCATATTTGATTTAAGCGGGATTTGGGCACGTTATCAACATAACCCCATATGGTTTTGATAGAAAGTTTATGCTCATTTCATGTGAAAGATAGCGGCCGGAAACACACACATTCTATCTTTCTACCAGTGAATCCACAGTCACACTTGAAGATGTTCACATGTTGATGGGTTTACATGTAAGCAGTGTGGCAGTGAATGGGAGAACAAATGTCAACTACCCAATAACTCAAGAACTATTGGGTGAAGAATTGCCCGAAAGAGCTAGAAAGGGTCAATTCGTTAAAATGACTTGGCTCCGGGAAATATATGATGCATTTGATTTGAACAAAGATTCTACCATCGACCAAATTCATAAGAAAACTAGAATTTATATTTTATTATTTTGCACTACTTTATTATTTCCTGACACTAATGGTAACACAATACATCTTATGTATTTATCATTATTAGCTGACTTTAATAAAATAGGTAGATACAACTGGGGATCTGCAGTTTTATCGCATCTATACCAAAACTTGTGTAGATGCACTAGAAAAGAAGTTCATAATTTTGTCGGTTATTCAACACTACTACAATCTTGGGGATGGTCAAGGATGCCGAATCTAACGCCTAAGAATCATAATCCATTTCACTTTCGTACGCAACCAAGTAAGTTTAAACTACTCTTTTGTCTTAAGCTTATTTATTATGTTAACAACATTTAAGTATTATTTATTTTTATATGGTTTGCCTATGTGATGTATTACGAAGAGACTCCTCATCATTGTGCACCTGGCTATCGGGCTTTCATCGATCATTTTGAAGAAGCTGATGTAATATTCTTAACCATAGATTACTAATAATTACTATTATTTTATAGTTCGTTAAACTAATAACTAATTTTTTATAACATTTTACATGGAGGCCCTATCTAGGAATTGAAGATATCGATCCGACTAATAGTCACGTGTGGAGTTTAAAAACATTTATCATCTGTTTTACTACAGTTGAAATGCATCATACTGATAGGGTAAAACTCCAATTTGGCATTCTGCAAGGCATGCTGGATGCTCCAAAGTGCATGAAGAAGTATCACAAAAGTGTGGTGAATGACCAATGGGAATATAGCAATTGGAAAGATCATTACAAACAGGAGCGTCGTCAATGGTATAACCGCGAAGATAAAGTCTTACAAGGAGATGTCATGTCATAAGAATGTAAACCGAGTAAGGAATACATGAAATGGTATAAGTCTGTTACAAATTTGTATATGTCACCAAATAACTTCTTATTTGACCCTCGTAATCTCTCAACATCTTCAAATGCCCAAAACACCAGACCATTATCAAGCACTTTCACTTAACAACCATTCATGAGCAACCAAGAACCTTTCCCTAACACCCAACAACCTTTCTTCCCAACACAACCACCTTTTACTCCAAGCCAACGGTACCATCAACAAAACCTTTCATCTAACCTCACCCAATAGGGCATCCAACAATAATATTCTTCATCTAACACCACCCAATGGACCATCCAACAACAACGTTCACATTTTATCCAGTCTACATCAATCAGTCTACCACAAACATCATTAACACTACAAATCCCACATGACCCCAACTTCCAAACACTTCAACAACAAATGTCTATTTCCCAGCCACAACAATTTACCTCCCAAGATTGTTACCGATCCTTAGTAAATAGTCCATTGCCTACTAATCCCCTATCAAAGTGGAATTGGGAGGAAACCAAATTAAGTTATGACAGTGCAGCCGAGACAGACTATACCAATGAGGACATGATTGATGAACTTTTAATGGACAGATGTGACGCGAGACCTTCAACTCAACCAGAAAATGAAGAAGAAAATCGCAGAATAGGCCAGCGTACCAGACAAGTTCCTCCTTATGGAACTCACCAACGATTGATACGGTCCTGTCAAAATCGA